TCCTGAGCCAGCCATGCTGAGGGGAAAGGGAGAGGTTTCCAAGTTGAGCCAGGCTGGCTCAGGAATTCTGGGAGTTGAAGTCCACGAGTCACGAGGGGGCTATAGTTCCCCCATGCTGGCTCAGGAATTCTGGGAGTTGGAGTCCATGAGTCATGAGGGGGCCATAGTTCCCCCATGCTGGCTCAGGAATTCTGGGAGTTGGAGTCCACGAGTCATGAGGGGGCCGTAGTTCCCCCATGCTGGCTCAGGAATTCTGGGAGTTGAAGTCCACGAGTCACGAGGGGGCTATAGTTCCCCCATGCTGGCTCAGGAATTCTGGGAGTAGCACCATATATATATACCTAACAGTTGCTGGTGTGGTGTGGGTTTGTGTGTGTCTCCCACATGCTTTGATATCCCCCCCCTCTCATCCTATCCCAGGAGGTGCCCAAAATCTACCCTGCCATCCCAGCTGCAAAACGGAAGGCCATCCGCGTGCTGTCTCTCTTCGATGGCATCGCCACAGGTGAGAGCTTGTTCAGGTCTAATGGATGAATGCCCAGGTAGGCTGGGAGGTCACGAAGAGAGAGAGGCCAGTGAATGCTCCCCAGACACGGAATTCAATTCCTTCAGTCCCAGACACTACGCTGGGAGGCCAAAATCCCAAAAACCCATTTATTTTGGCCATGTCATGCAAGGGGATTCACTGGAGAAAGCAATTAGGTTGGGAAGAGCCAGTGGTTAAGATGATGATGATGATGATGATGATGATAAAGTTGGAAGGGACCTTGGAGGTCATTTAGTCCAACCCCCTGCTCAGGCAGGAAACCCTGTACCATTTCAGACAAATGGCTATCCAGTCTCTTCTTAAAAACTTCCAGTGTTGGAGCATTCACCGCTTCTGGAGGCAGGTTGTTCCACTGGCTAACTGTTCTCACTGTCAGGAAGTTTCTCTTTAATTCCAGGTTGCTTCTCTCCTTGGTTAGTTTCCATCCGTTGCTTCTTGTCCTGCCTTCAGGCGCTTTGGAGAATAGCTTGACTTCCTCTTCTTTGGGGCAGCCCCTGAGATACTGGAATGCTGGTATCCTGTCCCCCTTCATCCTTCTGTTTACTAAACTAGACATACCTAATTCCAGCAACTGTTCCTTATATGTTTTAGCCTCCAGTCCCCTAATCATCTTTGTTGCTATTTTCTGCACTCTTTCTAGAATCTCAACATCTTTTCTACATCATCATCACCATCATCATCATCATTATTATTATTGCTCATTCAGAATGTAATTGTGATGTGCTTCCCCCCCCCATTGTTGCCCTATGCTAAATAAAGGTTCCCTTAGCAGTGATGCCTTCAGGAAGCTGGGATTGTAAAGCTTGGAGGAAGGTGCTACTTCTACCCTGTGAAGCCACCGTGAGGAGGATGGCAAGACCAACCGTAATTTCTACCCAAAGGCAGCTTTTCTCCACAATCTTTCTGTCTTGGCACAGAGTTGGGCACATTCAGCTTCCTTCTTTAAAAGCCAGTCTGTATATTGCATATCGCCTCTCCTTCCTTCTTTTATCAACCACACATTTTTCCTTCCTGTAACTCACTACACCCGGTTGGCTGTCCTTCCACCCGGCACGTAGAGGTAATTCTCGACTTGCATTCATTCGTTTAGTGACGGTTCCCAGTTGCAAGGGCACCGGAAAAAGCGAGTTGTGACTCTTTCACGCTTGCGACCGTTGCAACATCCCCGTGGTCGCGGGATCCAAATTTGGATGCTTGGCAACCGATTCGTATTTATGACGGTTTGCAGCGTCCCGGGGTGTGTGTGTGTGTCACGCGATCCCGTTTTGGGACAACCTGACAAGCCAAGTCAGTGGGGAAGACGGATTCGCTTAACGACCGGGTCACTAACTGAACAACTGCAGGGATACACTGCATCGTGTTGGCGAGAAAGGTCGTAAAATGGGACAAAACTCACTTAGCGGCTGTCTTGTTAGCGATGGAAATTGTCGTGAGTCGAGGACTGCCTGTTTGTTTCCTCCCAGCTACAGGTGTACTGGAAAAATCCTTTTATGGCATCGTATGGGCACAATATATTACAGGTTTTCCACAAGAATGGGAAGGTTGTGGATTCTTTTTCCCGCCATCCGAGGTGGATACTTCCTGGGCCGGATGCTCCTCAGCGGGTCCTCGCTGATCCCTCCCAGTGGATCCTTCTTTTCTCACCTCAGGCCTTTCTGCCTTCCTAGGTTACCTGGTCCTGCGGGATCTGGGCATCCAAGTGGAGAAATACATCGCTTCCGAGATCTGCGAGGACTCCATCTCGGTGGGGACTGTGCGGCATGAAGGAAACATCCGATACGTGCATGACGTGAGGAACATAACCAAGAGACACGTAAGGAATCCAATGTTCTGGGTTCAATGTCTCAAGGCAGGATGGGGGTGGGTTATTGTAGGAGGGGAGAGGGAAGAACCTGGGAGGGTGGAGTCAAGAGAGGGACCAGCCTAGAATCCTTTCGTGGCCACAAGCGGACTAAGTCTGTTCATTCTGGATTTCCACAGACTCTTATTTCTATGGATCCTTATTTGCAGTGATGATATTACCTAGTTTGGGTCATGAAACGTCTGCAAGGAAACCACCAAGCTCAGACAGCACCAAGAACCCCAGTTTCTTCTCCTCCTCCTCCTCCTCCTCCTCCTCCTCCTCCTCCATCTTCCCCTCCCCTTCCCCCTCCCCTTCTCCTTCTCCTTCCTCCTCCTCCTCCCCCTCCCTTTTAGCACTGATGCTGTTCCCTAGTTGGGTCATGAAACATCTATGAGAAAACCACCAAGGGACCTTTATTTAATTCCTAGCAAGTGCTAATTGTGAGTTGAGAAGATTTCTGCACATAGGCACGGGTAGCAACAAATCAGTTGACCTTAATATT